ACAATACTGTATGAGTGTTTCTTTGTCCACAATACTGTATGAGTGTTTCCTTGTTCACAATACTGTATGAGTGTTTCCTTGTTCACAATACTGTATGAGTGTTTCTTTGTCCACAATACTGTATGAGTGTTTCCTTGTTCACAATACTGTATGAGTGTTTCCTTGTCCACAATACTGTTTGAGTGTTTCCTTGTTCACAATACTGTATGAGTGTTTCCTTGTTCACAATACTGTATGAGTGTTTCCTTTCAGTTTCTCATGGTGTTTGTTCATACTGTATGAGTGTTTCCTTGTCACACACCTGTAGGTTTTTTCACAATACTGTATGAGTGTTTCCTTGTACAATACTGTATGAGTGCTTGTTCACAATACTGTGAGTGTTTCCTTGTCACAATACTGTATGAGTGTTTCCTTGTTCACATACTGTATGAGTGTTTCCTTGTTCACAATACTGTATGGTTCCAAACGTTTGAGTGTTTCTTGTTCACAATACTGTATGGTTTTTCACAATACGTGTTTTATGAGTGTTTCCTTGTCCACAATACTATGAGTGTTTCCTTGTTCACAATACTGTATGAGTGTTTCTTTGTTCACAATACTGTGAGTGTTTCTTTGTTCACAATACTGTATGAGTGTTTCCTTGTTCACAATACTGTTGAGTGTTTCCTTGTTCACAATACTATAGTGTTCCTTGTTCACAATACTGTATAAGTGTTTCCTTGTTCACAATACTGTAGTTAATATGAGTGTTTCCTTGTTCACAATACTGTATGAGTGTTTCCTTGTTCACAATACTGTATGAGTGTTTCCTTGTCCACAATACTGTATGAGTGTTTCCTGTCCACAATACTGTATGAGTGTTTCCTTGTCCACAATACTGTATGAGTGTTTTGTTCACAATACTGTATGAGTGTTTCTTCCACAATACTGTATGAGTGTTTCTCAATACTGTGTTCTAATACTGTGAGTGTTTGTTCAATACTTAGTGTTTCCTTTTCACGTTGAGTGTTTCCTTTCCAATACTGTTTTTTCTCAAACTGTTGAGTGTTTCCTTGTCCACAATACTGTATAGGTGTTTCCTTGTCCACAATACTGTATGAGTGTTTCCTTGTCCATACTGTAGTGTTTCCTGTCACAATACTGTATGAGTGTTTCTTTTCACAATACTGTTTGAGTGTTTCTTGTCCACAATATTAGGTGTTTCAATAAAGTGTTTCCTTGTCCACAACTGTATAGTGTTCTGTCCACAATACTTAGGCTTGTTCTACTGTAGTGTTTTTGTTCCAATACTGTACAAGGTTTGTCAAACAATACTATGAGTGTTCCTTGTCCACAATACTGTATGAGTGTTTCCTTGTTCACAATACTGTATAGTGTTTCCTTGTTCACAATACTATGAGTGTTTCTTTTCACAACACTGTATAGTGTTTCCTTGTTCACAATACTATGAGTGTTTCCTTGTTCACAATACTAGTTCCACAATACTGTATGAGTGTTTCCTTGTCCACAATACTGTATGGTGTTTCCTTTTCCTATATGTCACAATAGTATGAGTGTTTCCTTGTCACAATACTGTATGAGTGTTTCCTTGTCCACAATACTGTATGAGTGTTTCCTTGTTCATCCACAATACTGTATGAGTGTTTCCTTGTCCACAATACTGTATGAGTGTTTCCTTGTCCACAATACTGTATGAGTGTTTCCTTGTCCACAATACTGTAAGTGTTTCCTTGTCCACAATACTATGAGTGTTTCCTTGTCCACAATACTGTATAGTGTTTCCTCAACTGTATGGTGTTCTCCACAATACACAATATGAGTGTTCTTGTCCACAACATGGTGTTCTTTCCAAATACTGTATGAGTGTTTCCTTGTTCACAATACTGTATGAGTGTTTCCTTGTTCACAATACTGTATGAGTGTTTTGTCACAATCTGTGAGGTTTTCACAATACTATGAGTGTTTCCTACTGTTTTTACAATACTGTTAGTCAATACTGTATGAGTGTTTCCTTGTCCAATACTGTATGAGTGTTTCCTTGTCCACAATACTGTATGAGTGTTTCTGTTCTGTCCACAATACTGTATGAGTGTTTCCTTGTCCACAATACTGTATGGTGTTTCTATCCACAATACTGTATGAGTGTTTTTCCACAATACTATAGGTGTTTTGTTCCACAATACTGTAGTGTTTCCTTGTCCACAATACTGTATGAGTGTTTCCTTGTTCACAATACTGTATGAGTGTTTCCTTGTCCACAATACATGAGTGTTTCCTTGTCCCTAACTGTATGAGTGTTTCCTTGTCACAATACGCAATACTGTATAGTGTTTCCTTGTCCAACTGTATGAGTGTTTCCTTGTTCACAATACTGTATGAGTGTTTCCTTGTTCACAATACTGTCTATGAGTGTTTCCTTGTCCACAATACTGTATGAGTGTTTCCTTGTCACAATACTATGAGTGTTTCCTTGTTCACAATACTGTATGAGTGTTTCCTTGTTCACAATACTGTATAGTGTTTCTTGTCCACAACTGTATGGTGTTTCCTTGTTCACAATACTGTATGAGTGTTTCCTTCACAATACTGTATAGAGTGTTTCCTTATCACAATACTATAGTGTTTCCTTGTTCACAATACTGTGTATGAGTGTTTCCTTGTCACAATACTGTATGAGTGTTTTTTCACAATCTGTATGGTTTTCTTCCAATACTGTATGAGTGTTTCCTTATCCAATACTATGAGTGTTTCCTTGTTCTTCTGTATGAGTGTTTCCTTGTTCACAATACTGTATGAGTGTTTCCTTGTCCACAATACTGTATGGTCTTTACAATTGTAGTTTTCTTCCAATACTGTGTTTCTCAATACTATGAGTGTTTCCTTGTTCACAATACTGTATGAGTGTTTCCTTGTTCCAATACTGTATAGGTGTTTCCTTGTTCACAATACTGTATGAGTGTTTCCTTGTTCACAATACTGTATAGTGTTTCCTTGTCACAATACTGTATGAGTGTTTCCTTCATCTAATACTGTATGTGTTTCTACAATACTATAGTGTTTCCTTGTCACAATACGTATGGTGTTGTCACAATAC